AGACAAGTAACCAATCCTTCCCACAATTTCCTTGAGAATGGAGGATCAAATAGTAGCTTTATAGTAAAAACTTAACGACGCACTTAATCTGTCGACACGCCCATTGCCTCATTTGAATTATGTGGAAATAAAGTGCGACGTTCAGTTTTAGATATATTAACAGACAACAGTATTATTGTTAGATTTTACATCTACAGTACTATGTAGTACTAATTAGAACTTTTGTAGTAGGTCTCCTATTGGATTGACTGCAGGTGTAGTCATTTCGAATTGTTCGGTAACACTATCGTGTCACGATGACTGAGTTAGACGTAACGAAGCGCGTGGCGTCCCCGCCGGGTTGGAGAATTCTAAACGAACAATTCGTTCTTCGACACCTGGACGCTTAGAAATCCAAAACTGAGAGGTCTATCCGTATAACTCTGGTTTAGGACTTAAAATAATAAAATTTTGGCAATTTTGTTTTCAATACTTAAAAGTAGAGTCATGTATTCCAGTCTAGCCCGTTTAAAGACAGTAAATCCCCATAAGAGCCATTGAATTCAGTTTTTTGTCTCTCCTGCAAAATTTACAGAATCGGAGTTGGACGGTTTGAATTCTCCATATATATATATATATATATATATATATATGTATTTATATATATCTTTGTACAACTGATAATTTCCATCTCTCTATCATGAGAGAGTACGGTGACGTCTATAAGACCTCTTGTTGTCCCCACTAGTCACCTTGTTGAAACAGTAACTCACAATATCTTTGGTAATTTAAAAGGCGCTCTCAATGTGTCGTTGTTTATTTTTGGTGATGGGCCTTTCACAACACGTATGTTTGTATGATCTAAAATGCAAAGAGAAACCGTGTTCCGGAAATATACTTGTTGTTGTTGTTGATGTTGTTGTTGTTACTGATGTTGTTGTGGCTGTTGTTACTTTTCAGACCGGTCTTTATTTGTGATGATAACAACACAACAAGATAATCATATAGATCCAAGACTAACATTTTCATACACAGTTTAAAGATTTCTAGATCTAGATGTGTAAGATCCAAATTCGATACTTTAAAAAAAAAATTGCGATACCAACTACAGCGTATACTGGCTGCAACAAAGAGAGTGATGGGCCGGCGATTTGGAACAGTTTAATATTATCCTCCTTCAAAATTTGGTCTCTCTACACAAGGAGATGGAAATGGGTTAATATCTCACTCTTTATGGACATCCTGGTTGGAACTAGATGAGGCGAAGAGGGTGTTGGAATTCATTATAAATCCATAACAACAAATGTTATTGGAAATTGGATGAATGAATAAAAAGACATACCCGTAGAAATGATTTTTTTTTAATTCAAGAAATAAAATTAAGGATAGAATGGCTGGCGACCTCGCTAACCAGTGTACTCACCGACATCTTACTATGTTGTTGTTGTTGTTGATGTTGTATGTAGTGATAAGTGCAGGCTTGCTGCAGCTGCTGTAATTAGTCTCACTGAGTCTATTGTCAATTTTACGTCTCGGAGAGAGGAGTGTAGCTCTGATGTCATCTTGCGCTGTGCAGAGAAACTAGTGACGATCCAGTTTCAATTGCAAAGTCACTCAAAGTACACATTGGTGGAAGATCTGGTTGTATTCTGTTCAAGTGGAAATTGAGCTGCATGTTCTGTTTACTAACGGAATACCGTGGCCTGTTCCTTTCTCTGTAGGTGGTTGCTATTGTTATTCGTTTTGTTGCAGCCATATGTTTGAAAACTGCTCTGTATGTCTTCCCCATGTGTTCATTCAGTCTTTTTTTGTTGTTTCTACTGATTTGCTTTCCTGTGTTGTGTGAAGAACAATGTTGGGCTGTTCCTGTCTAGATTCCCTTTTGGCAAGTGTGTCTGCTCTGTCATTCCCAGGAGGGTTTGAGTTTCTGGGAATCCACTGCATCACCAAGTTGACACCGCAGGATGTTATCAGGTGTTGGGAGCCATTACTAGTTAATTGTTACTTCACAACTACACCTACCTTACTAGCGTGACACACAAAAACCATACAGCATTATGAGACAGATGACCCCACC